ATTAGCTTAATTAGAAATGACCTTCTTTATAGTACTCTTAAGGGGAAAATTTTACAAATTTATAAATATTTGTTTCCTATATACCTACTTTTACTAATCAATGATTAAATAAAAGACCAGTAGTAATTTTTTTATAATGAATGTAAGAAATTCTAAATTTGACTCATATTATATGTGGTTGAGATGAATAAAAGAATAAGAAATAATTACTTTTCATTTTAAAAAATCAATAATTAAATGAGTTCTCTCTCTCTCTTTTTTTTTTTTTAAGACATGTGACATGTGGACTAAAATTAGAGTTGGGCTACTTGAGATACTCTAGCTTGACCCAATATTGTATGGTGGAGCTTGGCAGCCCAATAGATTATGTTGGGGCCTGGTTTGTCATGATTAAGTGGGATATGAGCAGTACAAATGCTATGGACCCAATGGTCTTGATAACAACATCAACATCACAGATCCATTATTTCTCAAATATCCCCTTGCCCATGATATCTTCATCAAGGAAAGGAAAAAGCTTTCCAAGTGTGAGTCACAAAATAAATTCTTATTCAAAATTCAGTCTTCCAGTTTTAGAAATATCTTCTTTTTTTTTGGTAAAAATAAAAATTAAATCTAACTTAGTATTCTAAAGAGTGTTTATTTTTTAAAAAGTTATTTTCAGCATTTTAATGAGCTAAAACATAGTATATATGGTGAAGTTAATGGATATTTTCAGCAAGAAAAACATGCATGATTCAAATATTATCGCTGAGAGATCTATTATTTTATATTTACTTGAAGCACTCAAAAATAAGTAAATTTAACAAGAATGAAGACTTTTTCACTAATAAAGTCATTTACCTGCAAGAAAATTTTGATATTTTATTTTATGATCAATACTCTAAACAAAACACAATGAAATCAAGATTGAAGATATAGATAGCAAGATAGTGCACCTTCTCCTGTAGTCTTAGAAGAAAAAATTGAAGAAATCAAGTTGGACATTAATTAACCAAATTAGCTAGGTCAAGCAAATTATCAAAGAAAACATAAACAGAATCAAAGATTGATGAAGATCTAAATGGATAATGTATACCTACAGGTTTAGGAAAAAGTGGATACTGATAACTAACTTAGACCAAGCAAAACAAATTACTAGAAGTAGCAGCAGGTTCAATTTGCGTATTCAGAGTCTAAAGAGAACATATATATATATATATATATATA